GTTGTTTTCAAGAGTATATAATAGAATAAATGCTATTACAAAGTTGTCATAATAAATATGATTTATAGTTTATTTGTCCGTGTTTGTATTATCAAGTTCATAGAGAATTTTTCAGATTGCTAAATGAAGAGAATGATGAGGTGTTTATTTAAGGGGTCACACCTAAAAAATTAGTGTCATTGAAATCAAATACCTAATTGCAAGCAAGTACTGTGTTTTTAGGATAGAGGAATTTTAATTACTTATTCTCATGTCCTTAAACTTAGTATTGTGTGTTTTGTATAGATTAGAATAATTATTCATATTTCCTGGCACATAATTAGAGGACCAATTTTATATTGAACTTGCATATTGAATCACTTTTTACTTCTCTTGCATATGTTTTGCTAATAATATTTTATTGGAAATGCCAACAGAGCGGTATTAGAGGTTGTAGTCATGTTGTTAACTAGTATCAAGATAAATAAATGAATGTATATTTTTTTTAGTATAGTTTCCAGTACAAGTGCTTATCATCTAGCATCTATAAGATATTTCATTGATCTAATTTCAAAAGAACTCCCCATATATGTTTAGTTGTAACTAAACACAAATTGTAAATCATTTACTTGTTTCAAAGTGCCAATTTTTATTTATTTAAAACATAATTTATTTAGTTCCTAATTCTGCCATCATTTTAAGAGAGTTTATTTATGTTTTCATGTAAATCATTTATTTTTTTATTTACCATTGTATAGTATATCTGTGAGAATGGTATCGTTTCTCTCAAAATGAGTAATTAATTAATTGTTAGATTGGAAAAACAATTTATCACGTTCATTTATTAAATACACGTTCAAATAGTTTTTTTAGAGGCAAGCACTGCCCATTGATCTTATCACGTTCTCTACAAGAAGAAGAAAACTACATTATATTTTCTTTTTTTGATGTATTATGACTGTTTTTGACTTTTTGATTGTAAAATAGAAAGGGCTACATTATTATGTATTTCTTTGTATATTTTGTCAATTGTAAAAATTAATGTGGAATATACCATGATACAAATGCAACCAGATTTGCAAAGTTTATTGTGTGGGCTCCTGTTTGTTAATTTTCTTAATTTATCTGTTATTCTGTTAAATGGTTACCAAACTGACTATCACAATAAGAAAACAAGAAGAAACATTTGAAATTAGTTGTAATTTGTTTAGACCTCAAAATTTAGCACCTAAAATTCATGATTAGGCTCCTAAAATAGTAACACAAATTACAAAATTAGCATGAAAAGTAATGTTTTATGATCACCTAAGTAGGTTTACAAAAGAACCAAACCTAGTAAAAAAACAACAAAAAAACATTAGACTTTAAAGTATGGTTCGGGCATTATGCAACGCTCACAAAAAGTTTTCTAAATTAGGGGCAGGCACTTTAATTATGTAGGAAAATCACATATTTATTAGATTTATGAAAGAGACGGCTATTTTTTATTAACAATATTATTTATTCACTTTCACAATTGTATAACAGTAAGTAGTCAATATTTCTCTAAAGTTTCTGATACGAGTTAGTTGCCTTTTATATTTCAGGACGTTAGGAAGAGAACAAAAACAAAATATTAATTATCAATCAAAAATCACTATTGTTTTTCAAAATATTCCAATGAAATTCTATACACTTTTCCATGAGTTTGAACCAATGTCGAAGCACTTTTGCCACTGATGAGGATATCGTCCAAAACATGCATTCTGAATGCAGCAACCGCTTTCTTCAGGTGTCTTAAAAACGTTGACCTCTCAATATTGTCCTTTTTACTACGGGAAACTAAAAAGTCGTCATTCGGTGCCAAGTCAGACTAAACGCCGGATAATGACTCATCCAAATCGAATTCTTTGTTGGGTGCTCAAAAATGCAGTGTTGAGCACGATGTATGAGAATAAGGGCTCTCCTCTACTCTTCAAAGGAAAGAGAAGGAGAAATCCTCTTTGGCTTTTCCTGAATTCTCTGGAGACAGCTGGCAAACAAATCTGTCGCGTACCGCTCAGAATTGACTTGTTTTTGCGCTGTCTAGTGTACGAGGATTTTGCTGGACATGTCCAGTTTTTGCTGGAAAAAACAGCGCGATTTTCATCTGTTTGGAAGTGCTTCGTGCGCGAACAAAACTTTATGTGGATTTTTGCCTCATCTTGAAACACCCATATAGTCGACTGCCTGGTTTTACTTTCGGGCCTTCATACGCCTAAAATTCCACGATTATCACCTGTTCACGATGTCATAGAAGCGGTGTTTCGAGCACCGCGATCCGTATTTTTTTTGATAGGCATTGACCAAATTGTGTGTGGATCCAACGCGAACACAAGTTCTATTTGACCAATTTCATGGCCAAAGCTGTTTATGATGACTGAGAAGTCTGCCTGGCCATCCCCCCCCACCCAATCCCCACACCCACCATGCCTAAGGTTTGTCACATGACCGAATCTTGCCAAAAATATCAGAGTTCCGCCACCAGCATCAATGGTTCAACAACAACTGATTTTGGACACCTCGCGAAATTCGTTGAGACGGTGAAAGCTACGACCACGATTGAATTCACCATACCATCGATAAACACTGGTCCTTGATCGAGCTCATGGCCAAAAATGGAAAATTAAGTTCTTGCCATGCACTGATGCTGAGTTATCCACACGCTTCCGTCGAAAGTTGTATTTAATAAAAAAAAAAGTCCACGAATCGCACGAAAATGTTCACGATTTAATTCCATTTTTGGGCCAAGATTAATCTTTTACCTTACTGTAAACAACACAAATAGCGCTCGTATTTCAAAAGGTTCTGAGTATGTATAACCTCAAAACATCCAACTTTACGATAGAGCTGTCAGTTGCCAGATTGCAACTCCAGAGGTGCCAAATCCCGAAACATAAAAGGCAACCTTCGTCGTAAGCCTGTGTCTTTTTATCTGTTAAAATCATTTTGAAAGTTGAAAATGACCTTTCCACGGACACAAATTTATAGTAGCAAACAAATTTTGTCACATTTCTCACTCCCGCTTCTAACACTCCTTCCCTCTCCGTCCCCCGAAAAAAAGGTCCACACGACCTATTTAACCATTGGGCCGTACTTCCTATGCTTTACCTTTCCGGCAGGAGGTTTTTGTCTGGCCTGTGCTTTTCCTCGCCTGGATTACGAATATGCCGTGTCGCAGTGATGAGCCTCAACCAGACAACAGCACAGCTGCACCAGGAGTGGGTGTAATTGCGTGTTTGGAGCATCTTTATATTGACTT